CTGGCACCAGCTAGCCTATAGAAAGATAACAGGATGTGGTTGGGGACTTTCAGGCCCAGAGATGAGGATAATTTGTAGACCTAGTTTCTAACAGGGCAAGGGAAATACTTACATCCGAGTCATTGATGCGATCAAATAAATATGAGTGAACACTCGCCAATCGCTGAAGCAATTTCTCTCTCGAAGTGTATTCAAAATGTTAATTCTACCGGGTTGAAGCTAACATGTAGACAGCAGATCATTACATTTCAATTGGGAACAGACTTCATATTTAACATAAACAGTCACGTCATTTTGGCTGCCTGCACCCAGAGCCACATTTAGAAAGTCTTCCGTGTAACCATGGGAACGGTTTTGCTTAAGCCCTGTTGCTTGTGTAAATCCAATTCATTCTGAATTAGCTGAGAAGTGGGCGGCAGGGCTGTGTGATTCGTCTATGTCCATGGCTTCCCGAGTTGCCTCTTAAAAAACGTGATGGGAAATTAAAGTTTTTTCTTTCTGTTTTTAGAGGTGGAAGCATGGATGAGACTGGGAGGCAGAGTCCTTTTCTCCAATGACAACAGCATCACAGAGAATGAAAAATAGGAAACCAGTTTCTGGTGTACAGAGACATTTCCTGTGCTTATCAGTTCCTTTGGCTAGGATAATCTTCCTTAATATGTCCAAGAGAGGAGTATGATCACGTGCATAATTTTACACATGGCATAAAAACCCCTAATAGAAATGTATTCACGTTAACACTTCTTCCTTTTCGTTCTAGGACAAATATCGTGAATTAGATTCAACAAAATGCCCTTTTTGGCTCCTTTAAAGCAGCTACTGGGTAGGTGACTAAGAAAAGAAGATATTTTTGCCTCCTAGACTACTGAAAGGAGAGCAGGCTTGAGTGGGCCCCAGGAGTGTCAGGGTAAAGAAAGAAAAGGGGATGGCAAGATACTGGCTGGCCAGGGACATGACAGTAAACTGCTTTCTGTGCCTCTAGTCTCTGTGACTAGAAATGGCTTTTCACTTCATTAAAACCCATGGACACTGCTCATCTTCAAGGTCAGGCCCAGTGTCATCAGATCTGGTACATATAGTCCTGTCTACTCATCCTCCCAAGAGATCATGTTTGTGTGTGCCTGTGGATACACATATACACGTAGATGGGCTTGTCTTGATTGAGCATGTGTGTGGCTGTGAGAGAGCCTTAGGTATCATCTTAGGTGCCTGTATTTTTTAGACAGGGTCTTTACTATGGAGGAACTTGCCAAGTACCCTAGACTGACTGACTGGTGAGCCCCAGGAATCTGCCTGACTCTGTCTCCCTGTGCTGGCATTAAAAGCATGCATGCTATCACGTTCAGAATTTTTTATCTGGGGTCTGGGGATCAAATTCAGGTATTTGTGTTTGTAAGACAAGCCCTTTGCTGCCTGAGCCATCTTCTCAACCCCAATAATTGCTAAGTTTTTGCTAATTGACCATACATTACAAATATGTCTGTGTTCTGCTTCCTTACAAGTGACTGTTTATCCATTTCCCCCGCCAGAAAGAGAGAGAGCAAGAGTGAGAGAGAGCTGTTGGAGGGGATACATCTTCTTTCCTAACTGACTAGAGTCTATTGCTGCTGGTAAGCCATACACAAACAGTGTTGATCAACCAACCAGTGCAGGTAAAAATGCAAAGGCAGCAGAGAGGCCAAGGCAAACATGCTTTGTTGATAGTTTCATCTAGCTTGGGAGTAAAGGATGATTCTACGGAGGACGGTTATGGAGGCTTAGAGAGAAGAGGGGAGGGGAGGGGAGGGAAGGGAAGGGAAGGGAAGGGAAGGGAAGGCTACTGTGGCCCTAAAATATACCAGAAATTATAGTGTCCATCTTGAGAAGACACTTGAAGTAGCCTGGAAAATGGTCACCCAACATACACAGCCCTGTCCCAGGAAGCTGTAAGTCTGATTTGAAAAGTCAACTTTGTAAATGTGACTAAGATTCTTGAGATAGTGCGATAACTCTGTGTTGTCTGGGTGGGCACTGAATGCCACCTTGGCTCTCATAAAAGACATTTCAATTATCGTTGTACAAGAACTCACAGATAGAACAGAAAACAGGCCCAAAGAAGAATGCAGACCCTGGAGTAGTGTGTATACAAGTCAGGAAGTGCAGCAGTCATAGGAAACCAGGGGAGTCCAGAACTGTTTCCATGCCAGAGTCTCTGAGAGAGTTGGGGGGAGTTTGGCCTTTCTGACAGCACTCAGATTCTGCCCAGAGCTGTTATTTAGAGAGAATAAATCTCTGGTTCAAAAGGTGTGAAGTTTGTAGTAATTTGTTACAGTTTCTGTAACCATAAGGAACTAACACAAAACTTATGTCCTACACATTTTTATTAACGAAGCAAGACTTAAGTGGGGAATAGTAACATTATAGCCAAGTTCACAGAGAAATCCCCAGCCAAGCTGAGAGTCAAACCCAAGTTGCAACAGTGTCAGAACTGTGTAGATAGCTCACCTTTATCCAGTGTGCATAGAGCTGTGTGGATAGCTCACCGTTATCCAGTGTGCATAGAGCTGTGTAGATAGCTCACCTTTATCCAGCGTGTGTAGAGCTGTGGAGATAGCTCACTTTTATCCAGTGTGTGTAGAGCTGTGTAGATAGCTCACCTTTATCCAGCGTGTGTACAGCTGTGTAGATAGCTCACCTTTATCCAGCGTGTGTACAGCTGTGTAGATAGCTCACCTTTATCCAGCGTGTGTACAGCTGTGTAGATAGCTCACCTTTATCCAGTGTGTATAGAGCTGTGTAGATAGCTCACTTTTATCCAGTGTGTGTACAGCTGTGTAGATAGCTCACCTTTATCCAGCATGCATAGAGCTATGTAGATATCTTACCTTTGCCCGTGTGCATAGAGCCAGTCTCGATGCAAACTGCATTGTTTTAGTGACTCGATTTTGGCACTGTTTTGAGGGTTGAGACACCGTAACTGGCTGGATCCCTTTAGCAAAACAGAAATAGAGATTTCATCAGGTGACTGATTTAGGCAGACCTGTGGACTTCTCCCTGAATCAAACCCCAAGTAGAAAACTACATAAGCATCTGTTGACAAAGCTTAACTGCAGTTCCGAAATCACCAGCGGTGCCAGTTCTCCACAGCTCACCTTTATCCAGTGTGTGTAGAGCTGTGTAGATAGCTCACTTTTATCCAGTGTGTGTAGAGCTGTGTAGATAGCTCACCTTTATCCAGCATGCATAGAGCTATGTAGATATCTTACCTTTGCCCGTGTGCATAGAGCCAGTCTCGATGCAAACTGCATTGTTTTAGTGACTCGATTTTGGCACTGTTTTGAGGGTTGAGACACCGTAACTGGCTGGATCCCTTTAGCAAAACAGAAATAGAGATTTCATCAGGTGACTGATTTAGGCAGACCTGTGGACTTCTCCCTGAATCAAACCCCAAGTAGAAAACTACATAAGCATCTGTTGACAAAGCTTAACTGCAGTTCCGAAATCACCAGCGGTGCCAGTTCTCCACAGCGCTTTATAAATGTCAAGGGAGAAATGGTGGCCTTCCTCTCGGCCCTGTGCAAGGTGACCTGCTCGTCTCATGAGTTGCTTCAACTGTGCTAGGGCCTGTTCTGTGTGAGTGGAAAATTTCTTTACTTCTTGGATTAATATTTTGGCACGAATAGAAAAGACAAAAAGTGTAAGTTAAAAAAATGAGATACATATACATTTTCAAGAATGCTGAGGAGATAACTTGAGCCAAAAGGAGACGGGAAATGACCTGAGCTTGGGTAGGAGGTACTGTGTATCATAACCAATGAAAGTCTCTCCCTGAAAGAGAAAGCTACCGAACAGGTAGAAAGCACAAGAGAAGACAATTTTGGGATTTCTGGGGGGAAGAAGTTGGGGCAGATGCAGTCAGGGTAGAAGAAGTTGGGGCAGATGCAGTCGGGGCTGATGCAGCCAGGGCAGATGAATGTCGGGATCAGGAGGCCATGAGACCAGAGAAGGTTGGGGGCTCCGCTGTAGAGGGTCTGGGAAGGCTACGGACAGGACTCTGTTTTGCTCTGAGTGAGGTAGGAAGCTATTAGGGTCTGCACTGAGGAAATATGACTCTCCTTCCCAAAGCATCACTGCAAAGAACACCCGGAAGAGAGCCAGGCCTGAAGCCCAGCTGACAGCAGCAAGGTCCTCCATGTCCGCATCATTTCCTCGCCGCTGAAAGTTGTGTCATCACAGTCCCTGAGGCCACTAGTCCATGCACGACCTTCAACCTTGCTTTTTTAATAATGACGCTGCAAACACAAATGACCTACACAGTTAAATCTCTTGCTGTAATTGATGCTTATTTCTATCAAGAGAAATAAAACAGAAAGCTAATTTTTTTGATAGCTAGCTTTTTCTTCTTAAAACATATTTTACTTACTATTTTTATTTTATGTGTCTGATAGTTTGCCTGCATCGTGTGTAAGTACACCATGTGCATGCAATGCCTGCAGAGGACAGAAGGTGTCAGATCCCCAGGGAACTGGAGTTACAAGTGGTTGCTAGCTACCATATGGGTGCTGGGGATTGAACCCGGGTCCTCTGGAGGAACAGCCAGTGATCTTAACCACGGAGCTGTCTCTCCAGCACCAAAAGCTAGCTTTTGCTTAATGCCCCAAATTTCACCTAACTTAGAAAGAAAGAATACCAGTGACTTCCTTCAGTTTTCTGGGAATCTTTTAGAAGTATATTAAATACAGTTTCACCAAGGATCCTTTCACCGTATCTGTAACTTAGAATTTCTCATACATATATAGATAGATCTAACTGGTTTCAACATTAGTGTTATTGTAACGTGTGGTATGGATTCTCCACTTATGGGGTGTGAGAGAGAACAGAGGTTGAAGAAACCAGGAGTACTCAGATGATAGGGGTAAGTTAAAGGCAGGCCAGGAGCAGTCACCATTCCGTAGCCACAGGCACTGAATTCTGGGACTCATGAGGACAGCACTGCAGATGTTGACATTTCATATATAAATTGTATAGCATTAGCATTTAACCTGCAAGCGTCCTCTTGCATATTTTCAATCACCTCTAGATTATTGTGATGGCTATTTTTGATTGTCAATTTGCTACAACCTAGAATCATCTGGAAAGACTCTCAATGAGGGATTGGCTATATTAGATTGGCCTGAGGGCATGTCACTGGGGGAATCGTCTTGATTATATTAATTCATGTGGGAAGATCCAACCCATTGTGGCTGGCATTATTCCCTGTGCAGGGACCCTGGACTGTAAGTGTAGAGAGACCAAGCTAAGAACAACTGAGCCTAGATGCTTTTATTTCTCTCTGCCCTTGACTGTGGATGTTATGTGACCAGCTGTTTGAAATTCCTGTCTGGACTTCATGGCAATGATCCACTATAACCTAGAATTGTGAGCCAAAATAAACCTTTTTCCCCATAAGTTGTTTTTGGTTAGGGTATTTTATCATCACAATAGGGAACAAAACTAGGACAGGTATTACCACCAATATAATGTAGATTTTACAGTCATCCCATATTATGGGAATAGTGACTAGGAGAAGTCTGTGCTTGCTTAGTGCAATGCACGAATATATTTTCTATTCATGTTCAACTGAATTTGCAGAAGGCTGACTCTCTAAGAGGTGCCCCAGTGCCATCCCTATATCACTTCTCTGTACTTAAGAGAAGCCTCATACTCCACAAACACCACCATCCAGCTGGCACCTCCAGGTGCAGACCTTGCTCTAAGCCCCCTCCCGCAGGCACAGTAGGCATCTTGTATCCATCATCTATATGGCAAAGGGTTTAGAGATGTAGTCTAGAGATACATTTGAAAATCATAGACTCACAGACACCTTTGGAACGCCTTGGGTCTCTATGATCAAGCCAAGTGGTTTTCAGGTTAGGACGTCAAAAATTTCCAAGTCGATTTTGTTCCATTTTCTTGTTCTCAGTAAGGCAAATACCATCCTTAGAGCAATGCTTCTCACTCAAGAAAGAACACAACAGGCGACTTCTGGGGTGTATAGCGTAAGGAGAAGAGATTCTTCAGTTGCCACTTAACAGCTTTTCTCCAGCCCCAGTCAGTCTGATCTCACACTTGAGAAAGAACTCCTGTCTCTCATCTCTGTCTGATTTTGTAACTTCAGAAATGCTTTTGTAAATAAAGATTCCAAAATGGTCTTGTGGCAAAACAAGTGTTTTCCTTTTCTTCTTGATTTTTACTGAGGACTGAAATTTTTGAAATCCATCATCGTTTACATTCTTAAATCCTATTTTCCTTCCTGCTTTGGAAACCAAACATTTACCATGCTGGCAATTCTGCACTGACATTTCTCTTTCGTTTTTTCTCTGCCAGAATTGCTGGTGTTTCCCCCCACACAGCCTTCGTTTTCTGTGAATACATACTGTGCCTATTCTAAGAAGCTAAGACGCAAACTCCAAAGAACAAATGCTTAACAAAAAATGAGTCAGTTTTAGGAAGCAGTCCCAAGCTCTGCTAGCAGCTAATCACCGCAGCGCTGGGATTTCAGAGTGGAGCTATGTGTCTTTTTAGAGGCTGTAAAGAGGAGTTAGTTTTCAGGGAACACAAAGGTGGTCAAAGTGTCAATCAATCCACAGCCTTCCATTGTGAAACAGACTCCAACGCTGAAATATAATTGAATGCTTTTTGATTCTTGGTTTTTCATGGGCATGAAGGTTTGACGTGAATAAAATATCACAAATACAAATTCTTAAGAAGAGGGTGTGGAAAGAGAGTCTTTAATTACACTGTGTGAAAGAGCAGAGGAGAACAAGGAAGGGACAGAATGCTCAATGTTTTGCTAAACATCTGACATACTGTAAATCATACAATCTTCACAAAGATTCACAAAGATTAACAGCAAAATGTCTAGGCGCCTGGTGCCTGGTTTCAAATCCTGACCTCCCAATTCACCAGCTGGGTGACGTTGAGAAAATCATTTAACTTGACTGTATTTCAGTTGCTGTTTTTCTTAATCTGTGAAAGTAAAATAATAGTATCCACCCCCAAGTTATGAAGGCAGATGAGTCAATGGGGCACTGAGGCAACTCAATGGGTAACGATACACAAAGAGGTAATACTAGGCAAAAGGCAAAATAGAAGACTAGTAGGCACAGAATTCTTTCCTCTGATCCTAAACTATTGCTTCTTCAGGTATATGGAAGTGAAACTAAATTTACATTAAGACTTAAGAGCCAGAGATGGTGGACGACCACAAGGAAATCATGTCGTCTGTGCACAACAGAGCAGTTGCACATATGAACCCACAGTGCTTATGACAGCATGCACAGGACCTGCACGAGCCCAAACCAAACCAAATCCCAGCATGGAGGAAGGAGGTGGGCAAAAAGCCCCAGCCCTAGCTGAGGAACTATTTTGCAATTGATAGCTGCTGGGAGAGGGACAGTCAGTTTTCTTTAAGGGTGTGACATTGATCACTTTCAGGGACAGACCCACACCCAAGAGCATTTGCTCAACATAGATTAGACTCAATGGGCCTTTAAGAAAAGAAAAAAGTTAAATAGAGGACAAGAAGCCGAGGGAGAGGCAGCAGTGTGGGGTGGGGTGGGGAGGGTCTGAATATGATCAAAATGCATTGCGTGAAGTCCTCAAATAATCAATAAAAGTGATTTTTAAAGTTATGAGCTGACAACATTATAAAAGTAATGTGACGGAGGAAAGATAATCTTTTCAGTAAGTGATAAGGAATAAGTCTGTGTGAAAAACAGCTACAGTCTAATCCTTAGAATTGAGATAAAATATTGAGTTCAAATGGATTATTGGCATACATGCAGAATGGTAAACTGCAAAAAAATTGTAGAAAAAAAATAAGAAAAAAAATCAGCATCTAGGGATAGGCAAAGTGTTCACAGACTTGAACCAGAAAGGGAAAAAGTTATAATTTGAATCTCAACAAAATTTAAAGCCATTTGAACTGTAAAACCTCCTGTTAAGAGGATAAAGAAACTCATTGGTCATCACATCTCTATACTGCCTGCCCACATTATATGCCCTGTGGCCACACCTGGCTTATTCTGTAGCTGCTGGGGATCCAAACTCAGATCCTCCTGCACAGCAAATGTGCTTATCTACTGAGCCATCTCCCTAGACCCCTGCCCTACAGTTTTGAAAGATAGTATTACCACTGAAGGATGCTGGGTGAACTAGGGCATTACTATGTGTAACTCTCATAACTGTAAGTTCTTAGATCTCAAAACAAAAACATTAATTTTAAATAGAGTTATGGGGGTCAGCAAGATGGTCAAGTATGAGAACCTGAGTTGGATCCTGGGGACCCACATATGGTGGAAGGAGAGACCTGACACCTGCAAGCTGTCTTCTGGGCTTCACACATGTGCCAATGCATACATGTATGCATAAACATTAAATACATGTAAAAAAAAACCTTGAAATTATGAGACTAAATTGCTCTTTTTACTGAATCTTTTTCAATCCCATGTAATCAGAACTGCAGCTAGCTCCATTTCAGCAGAAAAATGTAACCTACTAGTCAAGATCTTAATAAAATTTTCCCCAATCATGTGATTCTCCCCTTAAAAGTCTCTCACAGCCTCATCTAAATGGCTCTGTCTTCTTGTTTTCCTTAAATGGAATGGAAGAGAAAATGATGCTATGTTCAGAACACCTCTTGTAGAATAAATGATTTCTGAGGGCAGAATTCATTAACGTTTACTCTCAACTGGTAATTCATGAGCTAAATCTCTCAGTGTCCTAACCACTGGTTCAACCAACAGCATTTTGTCATTATTTTAGTTTCCCTGGTTATAATAGGAGAAAGACTGATGAATCAAAAGCCTGGAGAGAGAGAGAGAGAGAGAGAGAGAGAGAGAGAGAGAGAGAGACATGTGCAGGTGTGGCAGCTAGAAGTTTACACTGAGAATCTTCATCATTCCTTATTCGTTGAGGGAGGGTCTCTCAGTGGAACAAAGCTCACTGAGGCTCATTGAGCTAACCAGCCTCTCTGGGAAATTCCCTGCCTTCTGCTATCCAGTGCTGGAATTACAGGAAGGTCTCCACTCTTCCCTGCAGCTAAATGGGAGGCAGAGATGACTCTGACCTCAGGCTTGCACAGCGAATGCTTTAACCATTGAGCTATTTTTCCAACTCATTATTGTCCATATTTCTATGTTTTTACTGGGATTTTAGTATCAAGGGGCATCTCAGTGCTGATTATATTTATGGACAGTTGGAGAAAAGCATCTGTTGCTCAACCACAATGCTTAACTGGCTGGTTTTCTTCAAGAGTTCTCTTCCTTTGCTCCAAGTCTTACTGAGTCACTTGTCATTTCAAAGGAGAAATGACTGGACCTGTAAACATGACACTGCATTATTATGGGGTAGAATCCGGTTGTGGTGACAGTGTTGTTACTGGGGTTCATGAAACTCAAGTCCAGCT